GTGACGTCATGGCTGTCGCCGGCCAACGAGTTGGTGTTTTTTCAATGTATGCTTCAGACACAGGTCACGACGAGGCATTCCCCATAGCGACCCCTAGAGGACGCAGTTCGAAGTTCCCATGAAAGCGAATCCTGATTTATAATCGAGCTATCATCTGATAAAGACAATAGCTGTGCTGTGATTTTGGCTATACTTGCATGTAAAATTAGAGAAGCAACATAATATCTGTTTTAACTGAAAGCGCTGCTCCTCTCCGCCGCTCGCTGAACATAGCAGACACAGAGAGAGGTGCGTGCGCGCTGGGAAAGAGAGACCTCGCGCTCGTGCGGCAGTACCGGCAAGTCTCAGAAACTAAATAAGGTTTAGGCAAACCCTAAAAATTTGTCGCTAGGCGCTTTTCTGAAAAAAAAAAGTCGCTAAAGGGGTCTGAAAAGTCACTAGATCTAGCGACAAAGTTGCTAAGTTGGCAACACTGTGCATCTCCATTTCTCCTAATACGGGCTAGGCCACGGGTCAAACAGAAAATGCGCGCTGCCTTAATCGCACGTTAATAAAATGAATGCCGTTAAACAAAAATTGCAAAAAATAATAATCTTATTGCTAAAATGTCAAGTTTTCATTGACTAAAACTAGACTAAAATACTTCAGGTTTTCTTTGACTAAAACTAGACTAAAATGTTGAGACTTTTAGTCAACTAAAACTTGACTAAAACTAAATAGGATAAGGTTGACTAAATATGATAAAAAACTAAAAAGGCCATTTAACACGGGACTAAGACTAAAGCCCGATTCGGACGGTAATTGTTTCTCATATGGACGTCTGTAAAAATTAATTTACATATCACCTCAGTGATAAAACTCATGGATTCGGATGGCGATTTATTCACAGTGGAGGAGCGAGTTCTGTGATCCTACAAACCCGGGAACGTGCTGCTCACGTGGCCAGTCACATGATTGTCTGCTGTAAATAAAATGAATTTTATTTACAAATTTATTCTTATTATTGTGTAAAATGAATTTAAAAATACTTATTATGTAAAATTTATTCTTATTATTCCAAGCATATTTTAAAATATATAATCCTATTTATTATTTGATTATTTAAATCTCCTGTTTAAAAATAGGAAAATAGACGAGCTATAGTTGTATATAATTATACACGATATATATGTTTATAATACACATTTTAAAATTGTATTGCATACCTTCTGCTGCCACAATAAACACCCATTTCGAATGTTTACGTGCTTTTCTTCACTTTCTGCTCCCAGTCACTGTGGTGGAGCAGTTATGAAGTAATTGTTATTTTAAATACTTTCCAGCATTTCAGAAATAGGCTAAATATGTATGCAAATTACACTGAAGTAGGCTACAACTTTACCTTACGGTGTTCGGGAGTGCTCAAAAAGCGTTTAAACATTGAATTTTGAATCGATTTCTTCGCGAAAACTCTCCGAAGATGTGGATTCGGACGGCAATTAAATTACCACACGACCTTGGTGTTTGATTGTGTAGCCTAGTGAACCAAACTGAGACCATTTTGAAGGCTCAGGAAACCTTTGCAGGTGTTTTGAGTTGATTAGCTGATTGGCATGTCACCATATTCTAATTTGTTGAGATAGTGAATTGGTGGGTTTTTGTTAAATGTGAGCCAAAATCATCACAATTAAAAGAACCAAAAACTTAAACTACTTCAGTCTGTGTGCACTGAATTTATTTAATACACGAGTTTCACAATTTGAGTTGAATTACTGAAATAAATGAACTTTTCCACAACATTCTAATTTATTGAGATGCAACTGTATGTCCCCCTGAGAAACAATTACCATCCGAATAGGGCTTAAGGCTAAAATTTAAAATAGCTGACAAAATTAACACTACTTTTGACCCAATTTACAGTCTAGACAAGTCAACGCTAGCTGTCAGAGCCAGTCTTCAGATTTTGGACAGTTGGGAGTTATAGTGTATGATGGGCACAGATATTTTAGCTTCAGTCCATGATTCCATCCAGTTGAAAGACAGAGAAAATAAATAATATTTTCAGCTGATTTTAGAAGACATATCATAGCGACATATGATAATGTACGATGTGCTTTACACTCAGGGTTAGTTCAAATATGATAAACAGAAGTTCAAACATGATTGTCTGACACACAAGAACCGATGAGGCTTGTTCTCATGTGTTACGCAAGCATGTTTGAGCTTTGTGTTTGAGGTTTGTTCTCATGCATCAAGCTTCTGTTGACCATAGTGGATGTGCTCAATTTATGCGCGTTGATCATGTTTATATGTAAAATACAAGATTAAATTAAATCTGTTCATCCAGTAAGGCGATTGTGTCTCTTCAGTTGACAGTAGATTTCTTTTACTATCTCTTCTTGAACTTTCCAAAAATAAGAAATTCTAAGAAATGCATTCACGATGCAGAAAAAGAGTGCACAGCAATAAAGGAGTGATACTCTAAAATATCAAGAGTGCAAAATATTGAACTGCCCACCCCCCACAGACACATATATGAACCAGTGTGACTGTAACTCAAAGCATGTTTCTGCAAATGCATGAAATAAAATCAATAATTCAGCCAAAAATGCAGTCAAAACACAGACACCAAGGAAGGGGTTACACACTAAATCATCAAGAGTACAAAACAGACACACACACTCAAACACACACTCACACACACAACACACTATTATACACACACAAATGAACTGGTGTGGCTGTAACAATATGGCAAAATTGAGCCAGAAGGCTCAAATAAGAGGTTGAAATCAGATTGATTAATCTCTGATAAAGCATTCCTGTTCATTTTTGTTGAATTTTGATGTTATGTGTAACACAATGCCTTTCTCTGTGTTCAGGTTTGACTGCAGTAAAATTAATGCAAAAACTAACATTTCAAACCAAAATAAAAAAAATTAAAAAAAATCTAAACTTTACAAAAAGATATATCCAGATCCACAACTTATTAAAAAGAAGTCTTTATGCCTAAAAACAACTAGATAATTTATAAGCCTTTTATATAGAGCTATATAGGAATTTAGTGGCTAAACCATGGAATTGCAGATGTTTTTCTTTTTTTACTCCAACCAGATCACACTAATCGGACTTCAAAAATTTGATTTTAAAGGCATCGTTTCTATTTTAACATGAAATACTGCCATAATTGAAAAGTAATAGCAAAATCTTTGATTTTTTTTTTATTATTATTTTCAGTGGGAAAAAATGTATCATAATTATTGCATAAATATTCATTAGTACCATGAAATTCTCTCAAAATACAAAAGAAAAAATATTATGGAAATAAAATATATTACACTGATTTTACTGAAAAATAAATAAGTGTTACTCCCAAACAGGGCCGGAGTGAGACTCATTTTCAGCCCTGGAGTTTCATGCCATACACCGGCCCACTTATTTTTTTCTTTTTTTTACTGGCCTTTTCAGTGCCACCTTTGCGCTTTCTATTATCCATTTTTCATCTATTATTTTTTGCTTGCATATCTCCAACAACTGAGGTTTTCTTTTTTGCTTGTTTGTTTTTTTGAGCAAGGTGCCGCTGTCAGGGGAGTCAAAAGATAATTACGTCATCATTAGGGTTGCCAATTAACTTCAGAAATGGAAAATAAGGGACAATTGTGATTCTTTATCTTTTATTCTTTAAGAAAATAGTGTTTATTCGTGTATTCTTGTAGAAAATAAGGGACAGAATAAGGGACGCTCCAAATATTTGTACTGTACCATAATGTATGTCTGCCTGCAGTCAAATAGTTCTCAGAAATAATCACAATTGTTTTGTTTAAACTATGTACAATTATTCTAAAAATAATTTTAATGTCATACAAAAAATGTCATCGGCCTGAGTAAATTGTACCAATATAGAATTGTGACTTCACAAGTGTAATAAGTTAGGAGGTGAAAATACTGTGAAATTACAAATGGCATGAAATTTGAAAGCGTAACAACTGAAGGTAGGGCTGTGCAAAAAATCGAATGCGATTTTCATGCGCATCTCGTCAGTAAAGCCGCTCCTGTGGTTAGTAGTAAATCTCCAGCACGTGCGTTCAGATGGAGCGTCATTTACTACACAGAGCCGTAGTTCACTGACAAGCTACATAAAATCGCGTTCATAATCGGCAATGAATCGCCTGTGATTTTTTTAAACGCGATTTTGTGTAGCTTGTCAGTGATCTGTTTGGAACGTTATTAGAGTGAGTAAATGATGCAATGATTTCACTCTCAGGTGAACAGATTTAAAGGAATAGTCCACCCAAAAATGAAACTTTTGTCACCATTTACTCACCCTCATGTCGTTCCAAACCTGTATAAGTTTCTTTCTTATGTTGAACACAAAAGAAGATATTTTGAAGAATTTTTGAGGAACCAAACAGTTCTTGGTCCCCATTGACTTCCATAGTATGGAAAGAAATACTAATCAAAGAGTTGGTGGGCCAGGGTGAGTAAATGATGACAAAATGTTAATTTTGGGTGAACTATCCCTTTAACAGACCTAAAGTCACTCACTTCCAACTCATGCTGTAGCCTGTACAGGCCAGACCGAACATGTCTGCCCACCAAGACCAGATCTGAATATGCTTGGCTCGTTTTTTCTCATCATGCATCTTCTAGCAAGTTTCTATGAGTCTGTTAAGTTCAGAATGACTGGAAAACTCTGGTATTGTGTGATCTTCAGTCGTTTAGTGTATGATGCCCAGATCATCTCTGTAACCATTCACAAAGTCGGCAAGTGTATGAAGCAAGTCTAGTGTTTTAAAATCTTAACACAACAACACAAACATTGATTGAGCACACTATCATACCTCCATGGGGCTGATGTAGTCGTTCATGCCACTGTTGAAGACGTAGATCATGGCATCATACAGCTGGTTATCCCAGCACATCTGCACCACCTACAAACATCCAGTAGACATATGCTGACTTAAGCAATACAGATGATGAAGAGCTGCTGCTATGAAGAGTTCGCACATACACACCTGCTGTATGTCCAGATTGGTGATGTCCATATGGACCAGGCATCCCTCCACACTATCCATCATGCCGTTCTCCTGGAAGTAGCTGAGGAGGTCTCTCATGACGGGTGCAGTCAGACAACCAATCCTCTCGCTCAGAATGTAAGGCTCCAGACTCTCCAGAAACACACCCCTGGCCACTGAGTTCTCCACCAGCCGAGGGTAGATCTGGTTAAACAGTAGGTCCCTGAGCAGAAGAGAGATTGTTTTAAAAATGAGATTAGATTTGTTGGACTGAAATTTATTGCATTAACCAACAAAAAGCTGCTTGGTTGCCCTCTACGTGGTTTATCGATTGTTTTTTTGTTTTGCTTTTTGTTTTTGCCTGCAAAAAGTTTCACTAACTTGACCACACCTGTAGTGTTTCAATATATTTGTTATTTTTTATCCAAGTATTGTTTATTGCTCTTGTGCTCAGACATTTGTGGTACTGTAGTAAAACAAACATACTGAAAGAACTTTATAGGGCAATGATAATCTGGACATATACATTTTTATACCCTATTACAGTAGTCCCTTTAGAGATACTGCTCTCATACAACAGCGCTCTGTCATTCGTTCAGTGTAGTCTGTGAAGCTGTCGAGAATTTGCTGCATTAAATCGCATTACTTTCTAACTTTTACAGATAAGGATATTATAACTATAAAAATGTTGGTCATGTGCTGGGGAAAGCATGTCTTAAATACTTTAAAAACACACATCTATTAAATCAGCTGACAGTAAGCCATGCTAACTATATGCTTATGAGTTTGTTATAAGCTCTTAATATAAAGCATTCTCATCTTTAGGACAATTTAGGTACTTTTCCCACAGCAGCCCACTATGTGTTCTCTGCATTTTTTCAAGAGCTTTTTTGTCCATATGTGTTATTCATTGTCCAATATTTTCACTACCAGTTTTTATTGATTAGTTTTTGCAGCCCTAACTTATATACTTCTACACATTTGAAATTTTGTTATAAACTTCAACTATGTTAACATTTTATGAATTCATGAGCACTTTAATTCAATAATAATGTGGGAAACACGGGCTCTGAGCCTATACCGTGGACTTTACACATATGGGAACCACTTAGGCCTCTACATATGGAACCCAGCCCTCTACCGGTTCTCACGGATTCAGCGAGTGAGGGCCTGGCGCCGGACGTTCCGCTACATCTGGCTGCCGAGGGGACGGAGGAGCTCGACAGGGCCTACAGTACGGACATTCTGGAGCAGTTTTAGCAAGCCGACACTAAACCAGGACCTCTCAGCGCCTCTACCCGTTTGAGGTGAGAACACAGGAGGATACCACCTCCACACGAAGGCTATACGCCACGTCTGGCTGCCGAGGGGACGGAGGAGCTCGACAGGGCCTACAGTACGGACATTCTGGAGCAGTTTTAGCAAGCCGACACTAAACCAGGACCTCTCAGCGCCTCTACCCGTTTGAGGTGAGAACACAGGAGGATACCACCTCCACACGAAGGCTATAGAATCTGTCGCCCAGCCCGCAGCTCTACAAATATCTGTCAGCGAGGCGCGACGATATTTAGTCATAATTTTCGTTGACGAAAGCAACACTAGGTCCATCCAGTTACACTGAATAATAAAGAGAAAACAGGCCAAATGCTATTATTCCTAATCACCACAAAAACGACCTATTATATTAAAATGACAGAAAATGGCTTTATACATTACAATTAACCCTTGGTTTGTCTCTTTTTTGGGTGTTTTCTGCTGGTTCGTGAAAAACAGGATGGTTTTAATGATAGCACTGTAGACATCAAAGCCATTCAGCATTATTATTCATCTCATTCTGTTCCTCTCCCTATTTCTTTCACAGAGAAAAAAGAAAGAGCCCAAAAGAGAGAATGTCAAATAATGTGCATCAAATAAAAAAGAAGAGAGAGAATAGACAACCAAGGAGTGGGAGAGAACGAGAGAAAGGTGGGATGAGAGTTTAGTCTTTGAATCCATTTGTTAATCAGTATATTGTGAACAAGAATTTTACATTATAGTAAGGGTCTTGATCCACCAAACAGTGGGAGACTTTTCACTCAGTTGGGCATTAAAATGTAGCTGTAAAACATACAGTACAATGACAGTACAGTTATAGTGTAATTTCTTTAGTTCATTCATCATAGCTGCTCAAGATTACAGTAACATTATGAAATATGCTAATAACTATTTAACAACTAATGAACCAGTTAGCTTAGCTAATGCAGTCAATCTGAACTGATAGCAACCCACACCTGTGTTGAAAACATCTGGCTTTTAAGCATTTTTTTCACATATTAGCATAATATAGGCAGATGTTTAATGTAAATATGAGCACTAGAACTGTGTGAACTTTGAGTCTATTCTTTTTGCTTTGTACCTCGGTTAGCCTTAAATGTCCTAAAATAGAACTTGATTCAGTGTAAATAATTTATAGCGCGTGTGCATTGTTTTGGCAGGAAGATCTAGACATCAGTTCTGAATCTGACTGAGGAATCATCATGTGATTGAAGTGGAAAATTATACATTATATCATATTATATTATATCATATTATATTATATTATATTATATTATATTATATTATTGTCAGGATTATGGACTGGTTTTGTTTTTTTCCCACCCCACGTGTTCCGTGTCCCAGTTAATTGACTGATTCCATGCACCTGTGTTCCCCTGATTGCCCTGTGTTTAAAAGTCCCAGTCTGTTCAGTTTGTATTTGTCGGGTCTTGAACGTTATCCTTGTGTTCTGTGTCTCCATGTTGGATTATTAAAGACTCTCGTTTTGTGAAATCTCCACGTCTCCTCGTTTCCTCATTCCCTTGCTCCAGCGAACCGTGAATACAGTTACCTCCGTGTGTTCCCTCCGTTTTTGTTTCCATTTTTTCCTCAGAGTTTTTTTTTTCCGTTGTTTCCATGGATCCCCTCTCCTGTCCGGAGTACCTCCTCCTCCTGCTGGAGCAGGGGGAGAGATCGCTCGAGGGCCATACAAGACTGTTCCTGGTCCTCACTGCTCTAACCAGCTATCCGGACGACGCGCTCTGTGCGTTCTACGATGCCAGTTTGAACATCTCGTGCAGAGCGCTGTCGTCTGAAGATGGTCCTCGAGCGAATTTCGCTGCCTTTGTGGAGTGGACACTGGCGAGAAATGGATCTCCGTTCCCCGCCTGTTCCCAGGAGAATCTTGCCAGTTCCACTCCCGACCCAGTGCCCAGGCCACTATCTCCCCGATGCGGGGAGCGCATGCCCGAGCCCACCGCTGATGGAGAGCCATCGACCGCCGCGACAGACAAGACATTGCCGCACGGAGCGACAGTGCTGAGGATCGCCGCGGAGCCGGAGCTGCAAAGGACGTCAGTCAAGGTGTGTGAGCCGGCAACAACGCCCGCCACGAGGGAGAAAGCCACGGACAGTGTGAGTGGCTCATCGGCTCTCCACCTTGGGCTCCTCCGCTGACATTGGTCGGCCCCCTGGAGTCGGCAGCCATTCCTCCTCCATGTTGTATTTGTCGGGTCTTGAACGTCATCCTTGTGTTCTGTGTCTCCATGTTGGATTATTAAAGACTCCTCGTTTCCTCGTTCCTTTGCTCCAGCTTATCGTGACAATTATATTATATTATATAATAAAACTAATATATCATATTAGTTTTATCCATACCTTTTTATTTTTTAATGGTTTTTTATAGAAATTTACAATTCAGACATTAAATAAAATATATTTAGGTAAAATGTTGTCTGTCAGTGTTATTGAATTATGATGATTTGTTTTACTTATTTATCACATAAGTATAAATGCTTCACAAATGGATGCAGTAATGCTTAAAAGTACTTAAAATATGCCTTACAAGAATTTTAAAAGATAGGGAAAAAAGTATCTACGTATAAGCATTAACATTATGGTATTTTTAAGTGTTTTTGAGTGTTTCATATTTCACAAAGAAAAAACTTTACTCCATTTTTTTTATTAAATCCATACAAAACTGTATCCAATAATTGTATATTCTTTACTTGAAAACATCCGCTTCTAAGTGAAAAATTGTTTCCTAGCCTTTTCAAGTAAAACCTACTTTAATTTGATTATAAATTGATCATTCTAAAAATAATTATTTATTATTATTATTTTCAGTTCTGCTACACACTTAAAAGTAAATTTTTTTATTATTTATATCCAACATAGAAATTTTCATGACTTGAAAAATTTTCATTATTTTTTAATTCATAAAATCTAATTAATTAATATAATTATTAATGTTTATTTCATTACAGTCATTCAAAAATCACAATTTTGAAAATCACTGAATTTTTGGGGGGTTTGCTATGACCGTGGGAACCCTGTACTGAACTACTTTATATCCACCCAGAGAGATGGTGTTTTGCTCAAGAGGATCACAGTTTGTCCCAATATGACAGAACACATTTCCCTGAAGGGCATGGGTGTTTGAGAGCCTCAAAATACATACACACATCAATGTCAACACACACAGACACACATTCACAGAATTATGATGAGAGACTCTGGCATTCTGTGAACAGCAGGGCTTTTTAAACACGACAACATCAGTGAATGCACCTACTCCCTGTAACCACTGACACAAAGTGTCACAGCTGTCAGTACATCTCATATCTAAAGACATAGCACCATTAATCTCATCTCTAGCTCAAACATGAGTCAACGGTGTATGAGGACAAAAGCAGAAACCATCCAACATGCACATAAACGAAACATTTCCTTGCATAACCTTTCCCTTAGTGTGTGCGCGTCAATGAGAATAATGATGTCCAAGACAGTAAAAATGAGAAATCATTAGAAATATTTAGTTTAAAAACATGTACCAACTCAGAAATATAGGGCCAGATTTACTAAACAGGACAAATTAGCGTTAGAGCGCAATTCCATAAAAGCACTGATGGGAGGAGAAAACTCTGCGGGTGATTTACTAACAATGCGCACATTAAAGAACACATAAGAACTCATTTCCATAACGACCAGCATAATCTACCAAGAGCAGCACAAATAATCGCCTGTTTTAAGACATGCTTTTTTGGGCGTTAAATAATAACGCAAACAGCAATAAATTGACGAGTGTAAATCTTAGTAAATCGCGCTGCATGATTAATTTTAATACTCTCCTCCCATAAATTTACCGATCGTTTTCATTAGCGACTTTTCAGCGCTAATTTCCCACTGCGTGGCATTCCTGACTTCCTA